GTAGTGGCTTCTTCTTCCCTTATACTTGCCCTCATCATGTAAAGCTCCATTTGTTGCCTGTACTATTCTACAGACATATCTCTTTGTTGGAGCCTTTGGAGCTTATTCATAAGCTCCCTTCCATAGTATGATGGAATATGTCTCCTCCTCATGGCACTCCTAAGGTCATTCCAATATTGGATAGGAGGGGTCATTATGGTGGCGTCTTTTTGTTTCTAAGGCAGTCCACCAATACATGGCATGCCCTTGGAAGCTAAGGGTAGCCAGAGAGACTTTCCTCTCTTCACTCACCTTATGGCAAGCAAAGAGTTGCTCAACTTTCATCTCCCAATCTAAATACAACTCCACGTCATCTTTTCCAAAGAATTGTTAGAGGTCAACTTTAACTTCCCTAGGCTTAATAGTTCTCCTAGGTGCGGGTTGGTAGTGATCCCCTAGATTTATACTTTCATTTGGGGATGTGTATTGGGAGTCTGAGCTCCTACTCCTTCTCTTCTGTTTTCTCATTTCTTCTCTAAGTTTTTCCTCTTTTTTTCTAAGAATCCTCAAATCCTCTTCAAGGATAGCAAGTTGACCCTCTCTTTCAATTTTATCCTTCTATTTTTGAATGGCTTCTTGCTTCCCCCATAGTTTAAGTGATTTTATCTCTTTAGTGATATAAGAAAGACTTTTTGGAGAGCCATCACTTTCACTATAGTCGGAGTTTTGAGACATTTTAGACAAAAAGTATTTTCACACAAAAATAATTTTTGATTATAAAACAAAAATAAGACTCAAATAAAATGCTATGTGGCTGGACAGAAAAATAAAGGCAATGCACACACATCATGTTAAAACCGAGAGCAAATTGTACACAAAAATTTTTACTCCTTGGCTTTTTCTTGTACTTTTTCTTTATGATTCTTTTTGTGACTTCTTTTGCACCTTTTCTTTTTCTTTTGTACAGGAGTTTAATGCCTTTTGATTATGCATTAATCTCGGTTTTAAAGCAATAAAACTACTGCCAAAATTTTTTCACAAAATAAGAGGTATTCAAGTGAAATGTTCAACTAGTGCTTCACAATTTTGTACTATTTTTAGGTCAAATTTTCAAGCACTCTTTTCTTTGTTTTGGTAAAGCTTTTGAACACTAATACCTCTGTTTTGCCTCTATTTTTATGCCTTAAGAAGTGATTCAAGTTTCAGCCACAAGAACAAACTCAAGGAAACCTAATAGGAAGTGTGTTTAACAAATTTTTTTGACAAACTTTTTAATGTGACATAAAAGAAACCTAACTCTATGAAATTTGCTAGAACTAATACCAAATTAAGAACTCAAAGATGTAAATCAAAAGCACATATAGGTAGGCACAAGAATATCAAAAAAAAACTACACCAAGTATTTGACTCAAAACAACACAAAAACAAAGGTTAAACAAGCTAGTCTAGGATTCAACAACATGTAAAGGACTACACATGATTTCAGGACAAAACAATTGATTCAAAAACAAAAACACATGCTATAATATGTTTTCCAATCACGGACTCATGTTATGGAATGGAGAAGACTCAAACAAAACCAAAAACGCACAAGCACAATGAAACCTAAAAGCACCAAACCGAAATTGATTCAAGGAAATAGGAACCAACAAAACATGAATCAATTACCTCTCATGTGACATATAGGATCCATCAAAATATAAACAAGAACTAGATCCATTCAGCAAACACAAGAAGTGACATACACAAGGAAGGAACAACACGGATTCAAGAAGAAAAGTTAGAACACATAACCTCAAGAGCACCAAGGCTCTAAATACCAAAAATGATGAAAATAACTTGAAGAGGATTTTTGTTCTTCAAGATTCAATCCGTCCAAGACCTTTTCACTCTTGAGGAGACTTGGTTTTGATGCTTGAAACACCTTGAAGAAGTCTTCAATGGTGGAGAAGCACTTAGGAGGTTCGGCCACTCCAAGAAGATCAAAAAGCTTAAGGAACCTTGTTCAAAGGTTTAAAGAACCTTTGAGAGAAAACCTAGGGAGAGGAAGCTCCACGGTTTTGGTGAATTTGAGAAGAGAGAATTTGTGTAAAATTCTAAAGCTCATTCATCAAAAGTGAGGTAATAGGTGAGAGTTACAAATATATAGGGAGAGGTAACTTAGGGAGCAAGTTATCCTTAACCATGGTTCACTAGGAACCGTGGTAAGGTCACTTGACCGTCCAAGTGAGTCTAGAAGCTTGTGGAGCAAGCTTCTCACTTAGCTTGCTTAGGAAGCAAGCTAAGGAGAAGCTTGTAGCACAAGCTTCTCAATCTTAAGAGAATGAAGAAGAAAATTGGCCAAGAAGGTGAGCTAGGCTAGGCGGCCATTTGGCTTGTTTTGCTCAAATCCGGTTTTGAAAGAAATGTTGATTTGGTTTAGTTAGGTTTATCTAATGTTGATGAGACCTACCTAAATCAAATCCTTGAAAAATTAGGAACAAAACAAGTCTAATATGTAAAATTTTGCCTAGGCCCAATTCTGGCCCAATTACTAATCACACTCTCAAGCATTGCTAAATGCCACCCCCACTCCTACTACTGAAAAATAGAAAACGAATGTACTTCTAAGTTAGGTTAAATGGAGTCTAAGTTCCCAAGTAACCTACCCTAGAAACATTATACAATGACTAATAAAATGCAATAAAGTGTCTCACAAATACAAAGGCAAAAATAAGCCTATACAAGAGAACTATGTACAAATTATCTACAATTAGAACTAGGCCTTCTCTTCATGTTAGAGTAATCCAAGTGAAGAATCCTTGGGCTTAGAAAGCCCACTAGACTTCAAAGTGTCCAACTCCTCCTGAATGCTCCTAGCCATAGCTCTTGTGCTTGGGCCTTTGGCCCATGGTCCATCAGTTGTTCACCATTGAAGGTGATTTCAAAGGTTTTCTCATCCATTTGAGACCTTGAAAAAGCTTGAGGAGTGTCAGTAAGGAAAAGATCTAGGAAAAACTTGAAGGAGAAGCTACAACAATCTAATTCCTCTTAAGGTTTCCATCAAGTACAAACCAAGACCTTTATTATTTTGAAGAAGTTATCTTTAGTAAGGGGTTTTGTGAAAAGATTAGCATGTTGATCTGTGGTTTTAATAAACTTAATATCTATTATACCTTTTTGAACATAATCCATGTAAAGTGATGTTTGATTTCTATATGTTTATCCCTAGAATGCATGATGAGATTCTTATAGAAACTAATAGCAATTTTGTTATCACAAAGAATAGAAACTTTACTCTAGAACACATCGTAGTCCTCAAGTTGATGTTTGATCTATAGAAGTTGAGAACAACAATATGCAATCGAGACATTATACACACATTGTGAGATTTATTGTCCCATGTATTTTGCTTGTCCAAGAGACTAAGTTGCCATCAATGAAGTTACAACCTTCACTAGTGCTTTTATGTTCAATCCTATCTTTAGCTTAGTCAGCATCAAAATATCCTAATAAACTATATAGCCTTTTTTTTCAAAGCAAAGACCAATATTAGTAGTGTCTTTCAAATATCTAAATATGCGTTTAACTGTGATTAAGTGTACTTCCCTTAGGTTAGATTGGAAATTGATACACAAGCAAAAGTTGTACATGATGTATAGCCTGGACAATGTGAGATATATGAGTTGTCCTATCATCCCTCTATAGGTTGTCTGATATACTTTCTTTGAGGTTTCATCCATGCATAACACTAATGTTCTTAAACTTCTTCAAAAGTTTTTTGGTGTACTTCATTAGGTGTATGTAGATGCCATTTTTTTTTGTCTTGTTTGATTTGCAATCCAAGGAAAAAAAATTAAGTTCTCTAATGATACTCATCTCAAACTCATTCTACATTAAATTAGAAAACTCCTTGCAGAGTATCCCATCAATAATATCAAATATTATACAATCCACATAAATTTGAACAATGATAAAATGTGAGTTCATTTTTTAAGAAACAACATGGTGTCTTCATTTCCTCTTGAAAAAACAATTTTCTAAAAGAAAAGGGCTTAGCTAGTTAAAATATATAATTAATAGGAACAATTGAACAGTTGAATACAATTGATAAGTCTATGTCATAGGTTAGCTAGCTAGTTGAAAAGTCTAAGTAAGAATGCTTAGATAGTTGAAATGTTATGATTGAGTTGACATTTAAAATTATTTGAAACCATATGATTTATGTATCATGAACATAAATTTTTTCCTTAGTGATTAGTTAATTCGAGACTTGGGATTCAACTTAATTTGGGAGCATTAGTCACATTCTATAATAAGTATAAATGGATCTAACACAAGTACATGATCCAAATGATAGATGTGTCTTATGGATAGATCG